CCGGTGGGACTAAAAGGAGCAAGAAGAGCCTGGGAAGAAGTGCGAGGTAATTAGGTATCCAGGCCTTATCTGACACCAGGCAGTGGTTGACAAAAGTGATTACCTTCCCTCTCCAAGCTGTCCTAACACCAGAGTCCTCTTCCTCTCCCCCACCGACGCCGCCATTCACCACGCTGACCACTCCCCATTTGCCGTTGCCGCCAGCGCGAGCCCCCGCCTGGTCATAGCCGCCATTTCCCGGCAGCCTCTTCTCGGTCCCTTTGCCTGAAACAAAATATCCTGGGGGTTGGAGAGAGAGCTGTTCGAGGGCCTCTAGAAATCCTGAAAGGAGAGGAGAGAGGATTTCTTACCAAACTCTCTCGGCCCTCACCCTTTCTCTTCCTCTTTTGTGGGATAGCGGTAGAGAAAGGGGACTGCTGGCTAGGGAGTGAGAGAGGAGGTGCAGGTTCCAGTGTTGTCACCGCCACCCACACCCCACAGGTCACAGGGCGCCTCTACCTTTACACCATCCCATGTGGATCCGAAAGATGTCCTTCTCTTCCTTGCTCCATAAATGATTTCTACCTCCCCTCCAGCATCCTGCTTCTTTCCCCAAGTTAGTTGATTCCCACCTTCCCCAAAACCGAGTTTCATTATCTCTAAAGTGGGTTTAACAATGAAACATAACAACTTATGTAGGATAAACAGACCTTGTTCAAAGGAAGGGGAACAGGAAGAAGGAGGGAGAGAAACAACTCTATAAACAGACCCTATTGGTGTCCAAGTAGATATCCTAACTGTAAGTAAAGAAGGAAATGGTAGAGGTGGCTCAACAGTAACATATGTTTATTCCGGATAAACCTACAGAGGGGGGCCCTGTGGAGGCCAGGCCCAGTAGAGACTGAAACCTGTCCTCTGCTTACAGCCTGGGGTAGATATTGGTGAATGGGGCATGCGGTTAGACCATTGCTAGGGAGTTGTTAGGAAAGGGTCCATATGTTTTCATAAGAAACCAGAAGTTTTCAGAATTTCAGTCCCAAATAACAATTTCCTTTCTTATACTGATGGAGTGTTTGGGTTTTCTTTGCATGACAAGGGAGTATTGTCTAGGGTTTAGGTCAGACTGACTCAGAGTGAGGTGATTCTTGTTCTAAGATGGGATATTTTTCAAAATGGTGTCGCCTCTGTCAAGTTCTTCCTAACACTAATAAATTGGTCAGATAGAGCATTAGAATAGATAAATGGTTCAGAAAATAATTACTGAATGTCATGATGATTCTCAGATGTTGTCTCTCCGTGCCCATCTCTTCTTTCAGAAGCCTAACCTCTGTCGGAGGGCTGAAGCCAAGTATGTTCTCTGCATAGGTCTGTATTGACCATACACAGGCTCCAAGGACAGGCATAACCTAACTCCTCACCTCCTTAGTGAGGCCCTGCACCCTGATAATATGGTGACTCTATGGATGTGCCTGCTTTGCATTCACAAGACTGAATTGCAATCAATGTGGGAGCAGGTTATGAAAGGGCTCTTGTGACACTCCCAGCCTGATATCAGGCTCAGCAACTGGAGTTTTATTCCATCAGCAGCTGTTTTGCAATTGCCCTTCAGGCCTATCCTGAAGAAACGTTCATTTTTACTGATAGGGCTGAGAATTCTCCCTGAAGGAAAAAGAATTTGATTTATAAGTTTTTTTGCAGTGCATTTTCTTACCAATTTGCTGAGATGAGGTACATATGTGCCATGCTTGCTGGGCTCCACCCCCAGAAATTGATTCAGTCCATCTGGGCTGCATCTTCAGAATTTGCATTAGTAATGAGGCCCCAGATTGTGCTGCTGCTGTTGACCCCCAAACCATACTGTGAGAACAATTAGCAGGAGCTATCCACCAGTGGAGACTCCCCTAGGCCACAATTACTGTGGCTGCCTACTTTTTGCTTGATCCTACCCGGTAGTTCATGCAGTCTAAAATGAATCTCTTGACTCAGTGGTTCCCAGCGTGGGTGGGCTGCCCACTTTACCTCCTAGAATACTCCCCTGGGTAGTGCTAGCTTTGTCAGATTACCAGTGGTGACAGGATGTGCCTGTGTGTGTGCATGCACCTGGGCACAGGGATCCCTACTGCCATCCACCCAGTACTGTTCCTTTGTAGAGCCCTAGTACTGACCAGTGACCTCCAGGTTCTCTTTCCTTTGCTTCCTAGAGCCATTGAGTTTTTCTCCAGCAAAGAAACAAACACCTATGATTTTAGGATTCAGCCTACCTTTTCCTGGGGTAGGGTGACATCTAGTGGTTAACTTGAGAATCCTTGCTCATACTTAAAAGAAACTTCTGGAAAATTAATTCAACAACGCGGAAAGCAAAAACACCTACTAGTTTACCCTCAGAGAAAAGCACTTAGAAGAGCAAGATAACTGGCTCAATAAGAGTCAAAACAGATTTTTTTCTTTCCTGCCAACTGTTGTCTATATTGTGTTTTGTTTTGTGTTACTGGGGTTGCTTTAACACTGAGCTACATTCCTAGCCTTTTGTCTTTTGAGACAAGGTCTCCCTAAATTGACCAGGCTGACCTCAAACTTACAATCCTCCTGCCTCAACCTCCCAAGTTGCTGGGATTACAGGTGTGTGCCACTATGCCTGGCTCCTGGCAACTAACTAGTACAGAAATTATAAATCATCAGAGAATCTCAAATCTCCCACTGCATCTTCAGTTTGAAGGCTTTTCTAGAAATAGTACTCAATGAAGTTTCCCTGAATAAAATGGGGTTAGGTGGTATCTGCTATTTGATTCATATCTCAGGGTATTTCTCTGGTTCCAGGCTTAAACAGCCCCAGGATAACAGTCTAACTCCAAGATAGTCAGAAGATCTACAGATAACTGTAGTAGTTCCATGCAGCTGGTTAAAAACCACTGTGATCTGAACAGAAATTTAAGATAACGCCAAAGGGGCCAAAATGACAACTTGAAATCCTCATGTGAGGTCCAAGATATCATAAATAATATATGGCTTATAATTTAAAAGAAATTTATAAACTACTTGCTACAGGAAACAAAAAGAAGGAATAAAGGGATCATGCCCTTTTAGTGTTGGACCTTTAGCAGCTGGAGAACTGTGACAAGTCTCAAAACATGGTCTTGAGACTGGCAGTATCAGCATATTCTTGGGTGCCATTACTTAGAAACTTCCAAGGATGGAACCCAGCAATGTTTTAATAGGTCCTAAAAATGATGCTGATGTGGGCTGGGGTTGTGGCTCAGAGTGCTTGCCTAGCACGTGCAGGGCGCTGGGTTCGATCCTCAGCACCACATAAAAATAAAATAAAGGTATTGTGTCCAACTACAACTAAAACAAAAATATTTTTTTAAAAATGTTGCTGAGGGGCTGGGGGTGTGGCTCAGTGGTAGAGCGCTCGCCTAACATGTGTGAGGCACTGAGTTTGATGCTTAGCACCGCATAAGTATAAAGATATTGTGTACGCCTATAAGTAAAAAATAAAAACGATGCTGATGCATAATGAAGTTGGAGAATCACTGGTTTAAAACAAGCTTAGATGCCCTTGAAAAACCTGAAAGGGGTGGTTTAATGGTACAGTCTCTACGAGTCCTATGGAAATGGTAATATTTAGAAACAGGAAAATGTTTGAGCTTAATATTAATCAAAAATACAAATTAAAATAGCAATAGGATATCACTTTCAACTAACAAACTGGCACAGATCAAAATGAATAATGTACATTGTTATAGAGGGTATAGAGCCAGGTGTGGTAGCAAATGCCTGTAATCCTGGCAGCTTGGGAGGCTGAGGTAGGAGGATGAAAAGTTTAAAGCTAACCTCAAGGGCTGGGGATGTGGCTCAGTGGTCGACTACCCCTGAGTTCAATCCCCAGTACCTGCCTCGCGAAAAAAAGAATACCTTCAAAGCTAGCCTCAGCAACTTAGGCCCTAAACAACTTAGTGGGACCCTGTCTCAAAATAAAACGTAAAAAGGGCTGATGATGTGGCTCAGTGGTTAAGCACCCCTGGGATACATCCCTGGTACCAAAAAAAAAAAAAAAAAAAAAAAACCCCAGGGTATTGGGGGGAATAATAAAGCATGCACTGCCAGTGGAGTTTTTACCAGGCGGAGTTTTAACCTTTCTGGTAAGACAAATCAAAAGTTTTAAAAATGTGTTTATCTTGGTTAGATATCTTATCTAACCAAGTCTACTTCTAGGAATCTATCTTAGTAATAACATATACAATGATGTATACATTAAAAAGCTTATGTATTATCTGTAGTTTAAAATTAAAAACTTAAATTTCAATGGCAGAAGATTTTAAGTCAATTAATGTGCCCGTATAATAGAACAATGTAAAAAAAAAAAAAAATCAAGCTATACAAGATTATTTTTCCAGTTTTTAAAAGGAAGATTTATTTAACAAGTTTCACTTAGTACAATACATCTAAATGGAAATCACAATACAAGGAAATATTTAAATCAAAGCCTCAGAATTTCATACAAATAACATGACCAAACTCCTAAAGTATTGGTATTACAGCTCAAAATTGTCCCAGATCTTTAAAAAAAAAAAAAAAATGTAAAAGTGTACACTCACGTGCCTTACAGATTATTAAATCAAAAGCTAGAATTAACAAACATGCCAAATGTTTTCACTTTGAATCGTAGACACAGCTCCTATATTTGAGTTTTACAGAAAAGCATGTTTCTCAACATGCATCTGAAGTTTTCAATGTATTGTGGTATAAGAGCAACATTTAACATAAGTGAAACTGCTTTAACCTAAATATGCTTACTGCTTAGGTACACTCCTACAACATAACTAACTTGAGAAAAGCTGAAAGTTGTTTTAACAGTTATGGTCAATACTGAACTTTGTTATTACTTCCTAGATGAATGTTTCAGTGTTCAAATTTACTGAGCTTAAAAGTTTGAAAACAATCTTGACTTCCACTTTACAGTAAGCATGAATCACAAGCCTGTAATGCAAAACTGTTAAACTTAACTTTTGTTGGTTTTCTTAAAAAAGAGAAAGGAAGAAAGGAAAGAAAGCTGACCAAGAGTGATCAGAATCAATTTTATTTCCCATTTACCAATCATACTGGATATACTAGACATCCCTCCCATTCTATTCAGCTCCCATAAATGCACAGCTTTTATTTCTGTAGTAGCTGTTTAGTACTCTTTCTCTACCTAAGCAAGGTTTGACTGATAGTCACTGGAGTTTTCCTGCAGAACTTGGTCATAACCACTCATACTGCTCTGACCACCATAACCACCTCCATAACCACCACTCAGCTGCTGGCTAGCAGGACCCCCATAACTAGACTGGTTGGATAAGCCCATCCCTCCCATCATTTGGCTACCATAAGCACCACCACTTGCCCCTGCTGTAGAATTCAAAAAGAGTTCTACATAGCTGTGATCATAAGCCCCTCCACTTGTTCCTGCAGTAGAGTTCAAAAAGAGCTCCACATATCTGTGTTGCATATTAGCTTTATCTTTTGCCATTGCTGCCACGGCATCTTCATGAGTAGCAAATTCAACATCTGCCTCACCAGTAACTCTGCCATCTGGTCCAATTTCAATGTGTACTCTCATGGGGTTAAGAGGGGAGAAAAAATTGTAAATATCATTCTCAGTGGCTCTGTAAGGTAACCCCCTCATGTGTACACAATGCCCTGTGGTGCTCTGGAAACTGGACCCACCATCTCCATATCTGTGATCTGACATTCCTGAGAAACAATAATTGAGGTCTCTTCCAAATCTATCAGACCCAAAGCCATACCCGTCGTTATAGCCACCATAGTCATCATAGCCTCCATACCCTCCACCATATGCCCCCCGCCTCATCCTCTCAAAACCAGCTCCTCTGCCAATGCTATTATACCCTCTGCCAGCTCCTGGCCTATCATAAGGACCTGGTCGCTGCATAGCCATGAGCTTTCGAGGGGGGTCATAATGGGTTCGGACTTCAGCTCTGCTACTCTTGAAGATTTCAATGTACCTGTGCCCTATCCTTTCCTTGTGTTTCTTTAAGGCCTTTTCAGCTATCTCCTGTGAAGCAAACTGCACAAAAGCCTCCCCTGTGCTCCGCCCCTGAAAGTCCACCGGCAGTGTCATCCCATTTGGCACAATTTCCAACCCTGAAAAGAACTGAACAATCTCTTCCTTGCTACAGCCAAATGGGAGTCCTCTAAGCCGGACGAAGCCATCGTTGGCAGTATCAGGACTATTCGGACCTGTATGCTTCAACACCCAATCCATTTCAACACTGTTGGACTTGAATACTTCAACATATCTATGTCCCATGGTTTCTCTGTCCTTCTTCAAAGCCAATTTCACTTCATCTTCAGATTCAAGTTCAACAAATGCTTCACCACTTGGTCTGCCTTCTCTGGTGTAGATGAAACGAATACCTGATGTGCCATTTTGGATTTTACAATCAGAGAAGAAGCGCATCACTTCATCAGCTGAGCAGGACCAGGGTAGGCCCCTGACCTTCACCACGAACCCCTCCCTGCCTTCAGTGCTCAGCATCATGGTGACTCTTGGGCTCTTGGTGGCAAGCTTGGCTCAATGCAATTTCAATGTGGCTGAAAAGAAAATTAGAAGAGTACTGTCATGAAAAAACATTCACAACATAGTAAAAGGAAAAAAAAAAGCAAACAATTAAATTACACTAGTAGCATTTTTAAAAATCCATATAAACAAAAAAGACGGCACCAAATTTTTAACTCATTCATTCAGCAATTATTTATTCAAAGCCTAGTGTCAGATACCTTTAATGGTGATAATTTCTGAGTGTTAGGATTATAGAACTTTTTGTTTCAGGGGATTTTTTTTCCCCTTTGGATACCTCTGTATGTTCTTTCTGTGTATAAACATAGAAAATAAAAAGGCTTCAAAAATTAACAGAAAAAAAATTAGTGAAAGTGGATGACAAAAAATATGGCCATATCTGATTACATAAAAATGAAAAACTTATTAAATGAAAAGATTAAAAAAAAATGAGAAGATTCCTGGAAGAAATAAATTAATATCCTTATTATATAGAGAATGTATGCCAATCAATAAAATCAGGGAAATATTAAGGCCTAAGAGATAAATAGTAAAAAGACATTACTAGGAATTTATGCATCCAAACATATTTTTAGGTGCCAGGTCCAGTACTTATCTCTGGCATACAAGAATCAATAGGTCCAGAAAGAGTTTATGGTCCTACAGGGACAGTCTTCATTAAATATATAAGTGTAAATATACATTATACCTGCTATGACAGAACTCTGCAGATGTAAAGATAGTAGTATAAAGAAGGGACTAGTTGGTCAACTCTATCAGTTGGAGACAGAATGGTTAAATGAAACAGATACCGAACCCATTCAGAGATTCATAAATAAATTTTTAAAAATCTGACAGAGCATAAAATAGGAGGAGTCAAAATAAGAAAAGATGGCAAAGTGGAGATCAGATCCCAAAGGCCTGATTTGATATACAAATGCTAAGGGCCTCCTATGGGGTTTTAAACAGAGGAGTGATGTCATAAACCTTTTCAGACAGATCACCCAGGCAACAGTGTGGCACTCACACAGGAGGAGGTCTAGGTGAAAAGCAGGAGATTAGTCAGAATGGTTGCTTGGATATGTTAAGAGATTCAGTAAAGGAACAGCAGTGAGAAGGAAAAAGATATTTAAAAAGTAGAATCTGTAGGACTTGATAACAGATTAACTATAAGAGGAATACAGTTATAAGAAGATACAGGAGAGGAGTCTGGAAAATGTTCAAACTCCATCAATTGTCAGAAATCAAGCTAAAACCAGAATTAATCACCATTTTTCACCCACCAAGATAATGGAAATTAAACAGTGACAGTTAATACTATTCAGGGGTTCACAAACCAATACACTGCTAGAGGAGTGAAAAGTAGTAACAGTATTCTGGAAAGCTATTTGGTAATATTTATCATACCTTCTGACAGTCCACTTCAGGTTACGTACCTTACAGAAATGAACTGAAATTTATACCAATATTTGTGAAACTATATATTCTTTGACAGGTATTAAGAAAAATAGAGGGGCTGGGGTTGTGGCTCAGTGGTAGAACACTTGCCTAGCATGTGTGAGGCACTGGGTTCGATCCCCAGCACCACATAAAAATAAAAATAAATAAAGGTATTGTGTGCATCCACAACTAAAAAACATCTTTTAAAAAAAGAAAAATAGAGTACTACACATTTAAGTTATAAAAAGTTATAAATATATTTAACATGAGAATAACTTATGTTATAATCTTAAATCATCCAAGATCACAGCTATTTTATAATCTCAACTATGTAAAAAAATATTCACATACCCTCTGACTCTGCTAGGATTCCTTCCAGGAATCTGGTCAACAAAACTACTTACAAAAATGTTTGCTGTAGCACTGTAATGGTAGAAAGCAACCATCAATAAAATGGCAGAATGAATTATATTGTATCCTCAAAATGGAATGCTCTGCAGCCATTTAAATAAAAAATCTATTTTCCCTCACCTAGAAAGATATCCAAAATGCATTAAAGAATATGCATAGTATGATGCTACTTTTATTAAAATATAAGCATGTATGTAAATGTGTAAAACGACCTATGAGTATGTAATACAAACTTTTTTTTGGGAGGGAAATAACAACGGAAAAGTAGGAGAAATGAAGTGGGACTTTCACTTTTTATACTATATAGTTCAATACAGTTTTAATTATTTAAACAGTGTACTGGAATTAAAAATAACAAAGTTAAAAATATGTATGGGGGATATGTCAAATGTTTATAGTGACTACTCTGAGGGGTAGGTTTATGGTTTGTTTGTTTGTTTCATTTTTTAAATTTTTTGTGTGCAATTTTCCACAGAGAGATTACTTTTACTTCAGAAAAAAAGTAACAAAACAAATCAAAATATTTGATTTTCTGGGATTTGGGATGGCAAATTATATAAAATTTTCTTAACTTTGGATGTGGATAACTTATCTGACGTGGTCTGGGAACATTCGGCCTCTTGGAAAGAAAGTTCAAAGTGTAATAACTGCCATAAAACCACACTGAGGATTCAATTAAAACATTTACTAATTGCCCATTATGTTTCTGCAACTCTAGTAAAAACAATCTTCCTACAAACCATCCTTAGGTCTCAGTGACAGATCATCTGTGGGATAATGAATCCTCCTAAAGCACACTACAGCTTAACAGCCCCTCTGTAGTGGCTGGAGGTCCCGCTTGCTCACAACTCCTGGGAAGGCCACCGGAACACTTGCCTGAAGTGGAACTAGGACTCCATTTGCGAGTTAATATTTTTGTGTATTTATGTGTGTTATATACATACTTTAAAAAAAAAAAACTTAATGATATAAGGTTGAGTAGTCACGAATTACGTTTATGTTATTTTTCAAATGATAAAAATTCAACATGTAATTACTGTTATAAGCAGAAAGATTAACGTTATTCAAATACTCAAGTAAATTTACTGGGCGTCTCAATTAGGCACGCAGCATTTGCCTAGATGTGACTCTACTGACTTAATTCACTTGAGGCCTCTACCAACACACAATTAAACAGTAGACTGAGTGCCTAAATGGATGGACCAGCACTCAGGCCACTGGTCTCAATATCTGTTTGTCCTAATTCAGGACCATAGTTTTCAAACCTTTTTCGCTTTACGGTTCCTCTTGGGGGTTCCCTGAGACTGGCCCAGACAAACAGATGTACAAAAACATACACACAGTCACAAACATCCACCATTTCCCCACCAGGCGCAGAGAAGGCGGCTTCCCGGCACTGAGATGAGGGGGTGGGGGAAGGGGGAGCGGGGGGAGGGGAAAACAGAGATCGAAAAAGGCGGAGGCGGCTCCCGGACCTCGCTTTGGTCTTCAACATCACCATCCCCGAATCCCCAGTTCCCACCCACACACCAACCTCTAACGATACCGGGTAATTTTCCTTCCTTCTTCCCTCAAACGGCTATAGCGAGACGGTAGACGACGACCAGAACTACTTCTGCTCACGTAAGCGTTTGGTCACGTGAACGCCTACGTCATGTGAGATCTCGGTCACGTGAGCAACTCTCGGACTAAACTCGGGATCACTAAGGTGCCGCACTTCCTTCTGGTATAGAAATAGGGCGGGCCAATATCAAGAAATAAAGAGTGTGATTGGTTAGCTGTGCGTCTTACGTGACTGATTATTGGTCGGCCACTGGAAATAACCGTCTAGTTGCCTGAGAAACAATAACGTCATTATTTAACAACCCATCCGTGATTGGTCCGCCCCTCAGGTTAAACTTAAAAGCCCAGGTTACCCCAGAAATCTGTATCGCATAATCACGGTGACAATGAAGCTGAAGAGCTGGGATCCGTGGCTGGGCTATGTGCTTGCGCTTCACTTCCGGACCCTAGTACTCTGGGGCGACTTTGGGGCCATGGCACTGGACAATGGCTTGGCGAGAACACCTACTATGGGCTGGCTGCATTGGGAGCGTTTCATGTGCAATGTTGACTGCCAGGAAGAGCCGGATTCATGCATCAGGTATCAACATTATTGGGTGCCCCGTTCCCTTCACTTTTCTGTACGTTTGTCTGGATGTGTTTGGGGAAAATGGAGGGACTCAATGTGAACATTTGAACCAGAGGGAGAGCCCCCCTACTATTGCTTGCTTTTTTTTTTTAATCCCGAGCAAACTGCCCTAAACTTTCTCTGTGACCCTTCCTTGTTTAGAAGCCCAAACCAGCAGCACCTGCTTCACTCCCTCTCATTTTCTCCCTGTCAGGTAACCCAGCTGGGGACTTTCTTCATTTACCGTATGGTTATATTCAGACCCTTCTGGTGATGTTCTTCTCTGTCTGCCTGGCGCTAGCCTTCAGCTAGCTCTAAGCACAACTGGAGTGGGTTGGAAGACTGGGAAACTAAGATTCTTGCCATTTCTTCTCCTTTGGGGGGCACGGGTTCCTTGGCTGTAACTGGAGAGTTAAAAAGACCATGGGGTCTCTGAAATCTACATCAGCCATCGCACTTGAGTGTGACATCAGACTGGAAAGTTGACCTGGTGGAACTTTGTACATCAAAGGTGAGAATTGAGGCTGGGTTAGACAAGTATTTAACCCATCTGACCTTTATCGTCCTTGTCCTTGTAAATTGGAATAACATTTCTTACCTCAAGGAGTTGACTCAGAGCTATCAGTTAAGTTCCTGTCTCGCATAAGTGAGCTTTCAGTGAAATAAACCCATTTAAAGTATATAACACACTGCCTGACCCCTCAATTGAGCAAATGGCATCCATGGAAAATGGATATTAAGTCTGCAAATATGAGTATGTGTATTTTTCTGGAAAGGGAGTCTTTACATTTCTTAATATTCTCAAAGGGATTTGTGGTCTAGAAAAGGTTAGTTGAAAATCACTGATATTGTTACCCATAATGCAGATGCTCCTCTAAAGGCAGTAATTTCTACATCCATAAGTTATTCCTGTAAACGTATTTACAAATAAAGTCAGGATATTGGTAAGACATCACAAGTAACTGGCCCTTTAAGTTTAAGTCCTTTTTTTTTTTAAAGAGAGAGAGAGAGAGAGAGAGAGAGAATTTTAATATTTATTTTTTAGTTTTCGGCGGACATAATATCTTTGTTTGTATGTGGTGCTGAGGATTGAACCCGGGCGGCGCGCATGCCAGGCGAGCGCACTACCGCTTGAGCCACATCCCCAGCCCCTTAAGTCCTTCTATAAAATAAAAAAGTTCCTGTTCATAGCAACTCAGTTCTTCAAATGTTGCACATCATCTGATTCTTACCTAATTTTTTTCTTTAGAACACTAATTATTGGGTCCAAATGTTAGTAGATTGTTTAACCATGAACAGGGGAATATGGAAAGGATTGGCAATAAAGAGCAGTAACTTCCAGGGAGAGTGTCAGACAGATAACATCAAAAAAAGAGTTCTTGAGTCACTGAACTGGGGATAACAGGAAACCTTATCTATAAAGACAAGTATGGGGGAAATGGGGACTGGTATGTCAAACCTTCCCCAGTAGTAGTTCATTATAACCCCTTAAGGGACCTATTGTTTCAAAACCTTGGGTCTTCATGACCCTCCCCTTGTGGGAACCACAAGGCCTATAGGAAGGGTAATAAGTCTCTTAGGGGGTTATGCAAGGAGTTTGCTGAAGGCTATTCAAAGAGTAAAAACCATTCTAGCATTCTAGAGGTGTGCAAAAACTGGGATAATAACAAAGAAATCCAAATATAAAAAAAAACAAAACTTAAGACTCTTTAAGAGATGACCATGAACTGTGCATCCTTATCTCACCCACTCTCCAATAATTAAACTCCTACTTATTCCTCTGAGCAACTGGCTGGAAATTCTTCTTGCAGGGGTGTAAGAAATGATTGCTGCAGAGCCAGACACAGTGGCACACACCTGTAATCCCGGTGGCTTGGGAGGCTAAGGCAGGAGGATCACAAGTTCAAAGCCAGCCTCAGCAAAAGCAAGGCACTAAGCAACTCAGTGAGATCCTGTCTCTAAATAAAATACCAAAAAAAGGAAGAAATTAGTGCTGTAGATTCCAGTAGTCCCCTCAGCTTCACTGGTCTCTGCAACACAAAGTTATGCTAATTCTGATAATTGTCACACTGTCCTTCCCAAATATTTTATAAAAATGCACATCCCCAACAACAGTGTGTAAGAATGCCTGTTTCCCTCCACCCTGGCCAACACTATTTTTTTTTTTTTATTCTTTTGAAACTTTCCAATCTGGTAGGTGTTTTTATTTGCACTTCTTTCTCTCTCTCTCTCTCTCTCTCTCTCTCTCTCTCTCTCTCTCTCTCTCTCTCTCTCTCTCTTTTTTTTTTTTTGTTAAAGATGCTGGGTATTGAATCCAGGGGCTTCACACATGCTTGGCTAGGCAAATGCTCTACCACAAAGCTATACCCCTCAGCCTCTATTATTTATATTTCTTTGATTACTAACAAAAGCCAAATATTTTTTATATGTTAAATTGACTCTTTGCATAGCTATTTCTTTCATGGATTGATCCTTTGTGTCAGTCCCTTATTCAGTGGGGTTTTTGTTGTTCTGATCAAGCATATGTTGGGAATTCAGGTATTCCTGTTAGGTGTTGGTTTTTATATTTATATAATCAGGCACATCATTTCTTTATGATTTCTGGCTTTGGGGTCTGGAAACCAAGAAATCTTAAACATGGTTAAGATAAAAGCAAAGACAGTTTTATTTGGGTGTAGAATAGATTTATAAATCAGGAGCACAGACTCAGATAGAACCAACATTACACAAAGGAGAAGGTGAGCTTGTGTTTTTTGGTGGGGGGGGTTGTTTATTTTTTGTTTTTGTTTTTGTTTTGTTTTTTGGTACTAGGGATTTAACCTGGGGGCATTTAACCACTGAGCTATATCCACACCCTTTTTTTAAAATTTTGAGACAGCTTCTCACTATATTGCTTAGGACCTTGTTAAGTTGCTGAGGCAGGCCTCAAACTTGTGATCCTCCTGTCAGCCTCCTGAGTTGTTGGGATTACAGGCATGTGCCATCCCACCTGACTGAACTTGGGGTTTTACAATAAGTGGGTAGTGCATTTCACCATACTTTAAGGGGAAAATAAAAGTTCCATTGTATCAGATGACTGGATCTCCTTCTGAACTTTCTCTTAAATTTCCTTTATTGGGGAGAGAGGGTACCAGGGATTGAACTCAGGGGCACTCAACCCATGAGCCACATCCCCAGCCCTATTTTGTATTTTATTTAGAGACAGGGTCTCACTGAGTTGCTTAGTACATCACTTTTGCTGAAGCTGGCTTTGAATTTGCCATCCTCCTGCCTCAGACTCTCAAGCTGCTGGGATTATAGGCATGCACTTCCATCTTTAAGCTGATGGGCACAAGAAATACAACTTGAAAGTTAAGGAAATTGGCAGAACTGGGGGGAAATAATATTTTCCACAATTTGTACAGTACTTGTATAGCATGTAAGTAAGTATTTCCAAAGTTGTGGTCAACTATTCAGACTATACTAGAAGCATTATACCACTTCACATCAATCATTGCCAATTTCATTTAGTGGCCTCCTTTCCCTTTGGGAACTATTCATAAAGTTACTATTTTCTTTTACAACTACTCACCCAGGCCTCTTCCACTGAGGAAAGCAGGCAAAGTGCATGCTGTGTGTCTCCTAGAGAAGATTGCATCTTTTATTTACCACCCTTGGCTTTATTTTCACAGTGAATTCCTGGCTTAAATGTAATCAGCCAAGAAACCCTCCCTATGTGCTCCCAGTTATTCCTCATTACTTGCAAGGAGAGTCAAGCCCAGAGGAAAGGAAAAAAAAAAATTCAACATTGCCAGCCAAGCCATAAAAGTGTGCGTTCTAGTTTGTTATATACTGAGAAACCATAGATGTGCTTCAATCCCTTTCAAACCTTCAGGAAACAAACAAACAAAAAGGTATAACTTTAAAGAATGCTAATTGGATGTTTAAAAGGGAGGAATGGAAAAAAGGATGGATAGCCTCAAAAGCTAACCACCTCTGAAAAGAAGGGAAGGGTGCTGAGCATAGAAAAGGCAACACTGGGGCCTGCAGAAAATCACACTTGCAGATTGCATTAGAATTCAAGCCAACCAGCCAGGATTAAAGCAAATCTTAATTCTCCCTTGGGGCCAATATCCAGACCCCCACTGGACTCCATAGAGAAGAATGATAAAAGGTACTGACTAAAGGGCAAAAGACTACATTAAAAAAAAAAAAAAAAAAACCAGAAGCTTCCAAAATCTATCCCCATTCATTTGGCACAGTGTTCACTACCACAATTTCAACTAGACTAACATGGGAAGAGGTTAGAAAATATGCAATTGTAATCAGGAGAAAAATATAGGGAGAGAGTATTTTCGCTATAGCATTGTTCATTTCAGTCTACTTCAAGCATTCCCATCACTATGGCTGGAAAAGATATCTGGATGGAGAAAAAAATTTGGAAGTGAAGGAGCAGGGGATGCTTTCAAACTCAATATTTTAGAGAACTCTCATGGTCTGTCAGACAAAGGAGGGCTGTGTGGTTTTAAGTCACAAGTCCTTCTTTTTCCTTTTTCAAATATCTTTACAAGCCCAACTTGCAGAATGTTGTCTATTAGCTGCTCTCCAGCCACAAAATACCTGGACAAAAAGGCCATTGGGTCTAGTTGCTGCCTTCTAGGACCCAAGTTTCTGTGGTGGCAGCAGCAGCAGCTCTCGCATTCCCATTTTAACTTTTTCGAGGTTTTTTGTTGTTGATTTATTTTTGTTTTTCTGTGATGTTGGATATGGAACCCAGAGCCTTGCCCATGCTAGGTACAGGCTCTACTGTGCTACTACCCTAGCTCCTTGTTTTGAGTTTTTAGGGTGGAAGAGCTTTTGAAAGGACGGTTCATTTTACCTTGTATTAGTTGTAATTACATCCACACTTACTAGACTTAAAAAATTTTGTGAGTTCCCAAATTTCATCTAATGAATTGTAATGATTATTGGAATTCCTCTTTCAGTGAGCAGCTCTTTATGCAGATGGCAGAGCTCATGGTCTCAGATGGCTGGAAGGATGCAGGTTATGAGTATGTCTGCATTGATGACTGTTGGATGGCTCCCCAAAGAAATTCATTAGGCCAACTTCAGGCAGACCCTCAGCGCTTTCCTGGAGGGATCCGCAGACTAGCTAATTATGTGAGTTTATAAGTGTTTTTTTTTTTCATTTGGGGTCTGTAAGCACTTAGTCATAGAAGCTTGTTGAGAAACAGTCCTCATGCCACTTTGGAAGTTGAATGGCTGCTGTTATCTGAATTGTAAGACTTATCAGGTGGAATTTTCATCCCATCAGCAGACACATATTTTGCAATAGCTCATGAGGCCCATCTTGGAGAAGTTCTTCTTTTACTGAAACCACTGAAATCTCTAGGAGGAAAAAGGAACTTGGTTCTTGTCATATGTATGCATATATTTCCATATAAGCTTTAGGCTGCTATTATAATTGTATTACAAACCAGAATTTTAGAAGACACAAAATTTCTGGACATTATTAAAGAGAAATACAGCCCAACACTAGCTAAAGATGACAGATTTTATTTAGTAATATTGCAGAAGGGGAAAGAGCCAAGTTAAAATCCAAAAGCAACAAAGATAAGTGAAGATTCATACCAATAAGCAAATTGAGGATTGAAAGGGTCAGTAGATGGAAAACTACTAAAAGATTTCAAGGGTGAGGGGATGACTTTTCAGGATTCTTGCTAAAACTGGGACATTAGAACACAGTTGAGGCTTGTCCTTGGAAAGGTACATTTTAGGATTCCAACAGGAATATTATAGTGGCTGACAGCTTTCTCCTCAGTTCTGTAAATCACATGTATGATTTGAACTTGTCTCAGAAGAATTGGGGGATTTGTTCTTTGCCTTGCAACAGATTCATCTGGAAAATGGGGGGGGGGGCAGTAGTGGGGGAAAAAAACTCTCCAATATCTGGTGAAGCACACTTGTCTGTTCCCTCAGTCTAAAGTGGTAATTTTTTTTTCTACTACTTCTTGATTGCCCTACTATTGTGGTGACTCTTCTCATTTCAGGTCCACAGCAAAGGACTGAAGCTAGGGATTTATGCGGATGTTGGAAATAAAACTTGTGCAGGCTACCCTGGGAGTTTTGGACACTATGACATTGATGCTCAGACCTTTGCTGAGTGGGGAGTAGATCTGCTAAAATTTGATGGTTGTCACTGTGACAGTATAAAGCATTTGGCAGATGGTATGTTTTATTCAAGGGATTTAGCCATGAGCAAAGGGAAGAACTTTGAGGCCAAGGTAGCTGAGCATTCAAAGAACTAATCTTCAGATTTTATTTATTTATTTATTTATTTATTTAATATTTATTATTTTTAGTTGTAGTTGGACACAATACCTTTAGTTTATTGATTTATATGTGGTGCTGAGGATCGAACCCAGAGCCCCTCACGTGCCAGACAAGCGCTTTACCACTGAGCCACAAGCCCCTCCCCCAGATTTTAAATATACAGTTACAGCATAATTATTCTCAACTCCCACCTCTTCTCTTTCAGTTTGTTCATTCATTTATGTTTGTGGGTCCATGCATGCCTAATTGTAGTTAATATTGTGCACTTTTAACTCAAAAGGGTTCTAACAGTTCATTATAATTAGTAATTGTAACTCTTCTCTTCATAACATCATTTAGAAAAGAATCCAGGATGTCACATAGAGAAAGAAACATCATTCTTGCCTTTCCTAAATATACACACCATCTCTGCACTACATTCTCAGAACAGCAGTCTGGGAGATACTATGCACAATTTTAGCACAGAGCAACTACCTGTTCCTGCTGCTGGTTTAAAATATAAACATGAACCCTGCCCCCAGAAAGCCTCTTAAAATATAAAGCCCCAGCTGGAAATTCCCTTTCCCTTATTTTACCCATTGTTTTCTCATACAGGTTATAAGTACATGTCCTTGGCCCTGAACAGAACTGGCAGAAGCATTGTATACTCCTGTGAGTGGCCTCTTTATATGTGGCCCTTTCATAAGGTGAGCTAGTGAGCCCAGAATCCAATTTTCAGAACTTGAGAATGAAGGAGACAAGTTTCCCTCAAAGCCCATCCACTTTCACCATCCCCACTACTGTAATTATAGTCTAATGTACCACCACCTACGAAGTTGTCTTTGATTCTTCCCTTTATGTCACCATTCATGTCCTGTTCATCAACACTCCTGCCAGTTCTTTCTCCAAAATACGTCTTCAGTCAGCCCACCTCTTTCCCTCCTCTGCTTCCACTCTGGCCTTCCAAGGCACTCTCATTTTTCACTCAGACTTCTCTGACAGCCTGATCCACTTCCAGCCCTCTTCCCACCTCCATCAATTTTCCAACATTATCTTGTTAAAATGGCATCTTTATCAGTTCCCTACTTAAAATCCTTACCTGGCTTCCCATTGCACTTGGAATAAAATCAATTTCCATTGATCTGGCCCTTAGCTGCCTCTCCAACCTCCAAGGAATGATAGCTCTTTATTTTTTACTGTTTTCTTTCTGCCCCTCAAACACTACTAATATTTTTACACTTGCTTGTTGTTTTATTCTAGAAGACATCTTCCCCCAAGATTTTTAAAGCATAGACTCCTTAACATTCAAGTCTCAGACCAGATGCCACATACTGAAGACAAGTCTTCTCTAATTACTTTAAAATAGCCCTCTTTCCATTATCACATTAACCTGTTTATTTGTAAAAGCTTAGCACTATTAACTTATTGTATGTCTCCCACTAGAATGTAAATTCCATGAGGGCAGGGAACTTGTCCTACTTTATCACTGTTATTGATAGCATATGGTAAGTATTGAATAGTTATGGAATAAATTCCTATTATTTTCTTGAAAGCCCCCCAAAATAGTCTCACCTTTTCTTCATCTTGCACCTCAGATCTTCCACCTGTCTACAGACTTTAATTAATTCCATTAACAAATTATATGCTTAGGACTCAAATTTTATGTTTGATGCAGCACTATGTAGTTTGCAGTTTATTTTTACTTGGTAAGAGCATATTAGTTAATTCTGATTATAAAAATAATGTTAATTTTACAAAAGTTTGGAAGTAAATACTCTTCCATAATGCCAATACCTAGATAGCATTTGGTAAATTTCCAGCATAAACAGTATTCAAGTAATTTTAATCCCTTATTAAAGAAGTATTGCCTACTTCTGAAGCATACTTCTTATAATCTTGAGACTTCTTCATGGAGACCTTCAATCTATAAACTAAAGGTTACAAGTGCCTCCTTTAAATTGGGCTGTTTCCATCGCACAAGGAAACTGAACAGAACCATTTTACCTGTTTTCACAGCCTAATTACACAAAAATCCGACAGTACTGCAATCACTGGAGAAATTTTGCTGATGTTTATGATTCTTGGGAAAGTGTGAAGAGTATCTTGGACTGGACATCTTCTAACCAAGAGAAAATTGTTAATTTTGCTGGACCAGGGGGTTGGAATGACCCAGATATGGTAAGGACTTGAGTCTTCCTTGTTCAAGACCAATAGTAGGCCTGTTTCCTGTTTGACATCCAAGGAAAATGGAGGTAAAGTTCCTGGGAGGAGGCTAGCTATATTTAGAGTAGGATGCTGTAGAAAGTAGCTTTACTCTGTGGTTAATCAAGGTAATTCTATAAATGTTTGGCCTTCTCTCATTTTTGTCCCAGTTAGTGATTGGCAACTTTGGCCTCAGCTGGGATCAGCAAGTAACTCAGATGGCCCTCTGGGCTATCATGGCAGCTCCTTTACTCATGTCTAATGACCTCCGACACATAAGCCCTCAAGCCAAAACTCTACTTCAGGATAAAGATGTGATTGCCATCAACCAAGACCCCTTGGGCAAGCAGGGGTACCGCCTTAGAAAGGTAATGTTCTGTGGGAGAAAATAGTTCAGGAACTTATTCTCCTTCTTTCTGTGGTTATAGACCAGCTGAAATTTAAGGTATGTGTTTTAAGGTGGTCTTTTTTATTCCCAAGGATCATTCGTTGTGGGCCAAAATCTGTTACATGAGGACATGACTGATCTTTCTTGAGAACACTAGTTTTTCCTTAATCTTTATGCCATAATCCATAATAAGGCTTTTTGCTAGAATCATTACTTTCCAAAGTAATCCTGTTTAAAAAAATACTAAAGGATTTTTTTTCCTACATGCACTCCCCCCACTCAGTATTGGGGTTGGAATCCAGAGGGGTACTCCACCACTAAGTTACATCCTAAGACCTTTGAGACTGGTTCTTGCTAAATTGCCTTAACTGTCCTAGAAATTGTGATCCACCTGCCTCAGCCTCCCAAGTAGCTGGGATTACCAGGCATGCAACACTGCAATCAGCATGTGCTTGAGAGTATGAATGCCAAAGTAAAAAAGTAGCTCATTGCTAGTTATCAAGCAATCACTCCTATCTTCTTTTCTTTTTAGGAAAACAACATTGAGGTATGGGAACGACCGCTCTCAAACTTAGCCTGGGCTGTAGCTATGACAAACCTACAGGAAATTGGTGGACCTTGTTCTTACATCATCTCAATTGCTTCCCTGGGTAAAGGAGTGGCCTGTAATCCTGGTTGCTTTATCACACAGCTCCTCCCTGTGAAAATGGAGCTTGGGTTCCATGAATGGACTTCAAGCTTAAAAACTCGTATAAATCCCACAGGCACAGTTTTGTTTCGGCTAGAAGCAAAAAGAAGACTGCATCAAAAAGCTTAAATGTACTTTAAGTTGTATACTTTCTCCAAAGTGACAAGCCCACTTTTCTATTTTTTTTCCTCCATTTCCACTTTAAAAAGCTCTGTTTCCTTGAATAAAATTTCTCAAAGTTGGAAGTTTAAAAGAGCTACTTCAAAAGTTATTCTAAAAAGAGAATTGTTTGGAGAAGGGCTTAAAACTAATGCACTAAGAAATAACAGCCATAATTCATTGGATACTTCTGTGCCAGATTCTAATAAATGCTTTCAAGGTGCTGATTTATTTTAACCCTCCGTCCTGAAGTAGGCAGTTATTCATTGTACTACAGAACCTGGACTTAAACCCCAGCTGTTAATCACTACTGCCAAACAAGGTACTTGGATGGTTCTACTTATAATTTCAGTGCAAATGGAAAATAAAATCTGCTGTCTCAGTAAGACAAGATGATTGCCAGGTGAACTGTGATAAATTCCCAGTGTTATCTGTAATCTACATCTAACAAATAAAGGTGGCTTACTTTCACCAAGAATAACTAGATTTATGGTGCCCTTAAACTGAACTGTTAATCTCAAGGCCCCATGAGGCAGTGATCTTCAAACCTGGGATATCCAGACATGGATAATTGCAAGGTTAACATCTGGTCACTCTTAATTCACAACTGGTTTGCCTGAGATACCTGTAGCCAAGGCTGCTCCTTTTCCACCTCCCTTTTATTACAACTGTTCTCAAACATGAGCAAAAACAGAAGTATGAACCTCACCTGTCAGGAGCACTCTGGAAATACGTGCCCGTAAGTCCTGAACAAGAGATCTTGAACAATTATTAAACCCCTCAATAACTTGGGCTTAACCCACAGGAGCCTACATCTTTTTTAATATTTCCCACTGCTCATTCTACAGGAGAGAGAGGGTGATCATTGGGAGTTATTGAATGGCTCCACTTAGCTCATTCCTCTCAAGTCATTGACTCCATTTCATGTTTATGTTGCTCAGTTGGTTATTAAAGGCAGAACGCAAGTTTTACAGCTGGTTGGATCAGAACCTGATATTATTATCCCTTATTCAACAGAATGTTTGGCTTTTCCAAACTTCTAATACTTGGCAAGTAGCTTTTGCTAATTTTCCTGGTCAGATAGAAAGTCATTATCCTCATGATAAAATTATTCAATTTGCTTTAGTAACTAAATTTATTTTTACACAAATTGTGCATGCTCAACCAACAGTTGGGGCATTATCAGTGTTCACTGATGGGTCAAGTTCAGGTAAAGCAGGTTTATATAGCCATGCTCATATAGAGGTAATGCAAACACCATATACTTCTGCACAATGAGCAGAACTTCAGGCTCTCATTTATTCTTTAAATCATTTTGCAATTGTCAATATTTATTCTGATAGTTTATATGCAGTTGGAGTTACAAAAATATTGAAACTTCACCTATTGGGTACACACCATCACAAGAGTTATTCAATTTCTTTCATACCTTGCAGAAGATAGTTCAAATGTGTCAACATCCCATCTTTTATAGGCCATATACGGCCCACACTACACACTAATCTCCCAGGACCTTTAACATCAGATTAATAAGATTGATAAACTGGTTGCTGTTTGTCAGCAACTGTCTTTGTATGACTGTGCACACACTTTTTTGCATCATCAAAATGCATCTAGTTTGTGTAAAGTTTAATATTACTAGAGAGCAATGTGTCAAATTGTACATCAATGCTCACAATGTGTTGTACATTCTATCTTTACCATCTGAGGTAAATCCCCGCAGGTTATAACCAAATCAGTTATGGCAAATGTCTATAATTCAGTTCCTCAATTCAGCCAACAATGTTATGTACATGTAGATACTTATTCCGGATTTATCCTTTGTGAGCTCTTGGACTCGTAATACTTGGAGTGGCTAGTTTCATTTATTGCTTCCATGGTCACAGCTTCAGTGGCCATCTCAAAATATTCAGCATGCAGATTTTCTTAATAATTTGGCTCAGAACACTTCCAAAGCTCTTTATAATCAGATAAATATTGAGGAAAGGATTGAAACTAAGCGAGATGCCTTAGAAGCTACTGTCATAATATTGGTAATGAGCTTTCTAAAAGTTCAAGGAAAGACTCAAATGTCATGCTGATTATGAATGCTTATTACTGCTGCCAAATACCTTGTTTCCTAATGGGATTGGGAGGTTAAAAACCATTTATTAGTATTTGGCAGAATAATAACAGCTTGGATCTTTTGGAGTTACATCATCATATTCAAGATATACAAAAAAGTGATTTGATATTTCGGATCCTACTTCAAGAGTTAAATGGTTTTAATCCTGGAAACATAATATTCTCTTTGCTATTAATCCTCTCTTGTATTGTAATCATGTCATGCCTTCAGAACAAGAATTCAGAAATTTGCAATAGCAACTCATCACCTACTTTTTCAAAGAAAGAAGGGGGAATATGTTGGGAGCCACTCTGGAAACACACGCCCTTAAGTCCTGAGCAAGATATACTAAACAATTATTGCACACCACAATAACTTAGGCTTTACCGCTGCTTGGATAATGAGGCATGGCTCCAGGAGCAGGCGTTACATGGTGGGGTTGAGTTACACTCACCTATTCCTTTGTAATCCTACCCCTTGCCCCTTTTTTGGATAGAAATTCTAAGAAACAGCATCCCCCAATAAAAGCCAACTGTAGAATGTATGCTCCCTCTCTCATCAGCCTCTTGTGACTTTCTCTTGCCCCCCTTGTTGGAGCCTGAGGCCAGGAGCTGGGGAAGCCGTCCTGAAGCTCATATAAAAAGGTATTCTGTGTCTGCATGGTATTTTGGGTCATCCCAAATTCACCGAAGTGACTTTGGTTCAGTTGCCCGCACTTAGTGGGGGCAGCACTCACCCATTGTGAACATTCATGCAATAGTACCAAAAGGACCACCCAAAACAAAAATGCATGCTGGAATAATTATGCCTGTCATGTGATTTCACCAATTATTTTCATAAAAATTGAGAACATTCAGTTGATAAAAGCTGGAATAACATTGTTAAACACAGGGTTGAGGTTGTGGCTTGGTGGTAGGGCACTTGCCTAGCACTGGGTTGGATCCTCAGCACCACATTAAAAAATAATGTAAAGTACTGAGTCTGTCTTCAATTAAAAAAAAATATTTTAAAAAGTTGTTAAACACACTCATCAATGAATAGATATACTATCTATAAAATGATCTTCCCACTGATAAAACTGCCATATTTGTTTCACTGTAAAGTTCTGCTGCTGAAATACAAAGAACTAATTTTAATCAATAAGACTGAAACGTAGGAGTAAAAGAATGTGTAACTTCAAACTATGTTGAAGTACTTGTTAAAATGGAGAGAATATACTTGGTTAAGGTTTCTTTTTTTTTTTTTTTTTTTTTTTTGTTTCAACCAGAGATTGGACCCAAGAATGTGGCTCTGAGCCACATCCCCAGCCCTTTCCATGTTTTAGGCAGAATCTTGCTAAGTTGCTTGGGGGCCTCAGTAAATTGCTGAGGCTATGAATTTGCAATCCTTCTGCCTCAGCCTCCAGAGAGGCTGGGATTATAGGCATGCACCACCATGACCTACTACTTAAGGTTTCTTAAGGCTATTAATACACTGGAAAGTTTGTAATATTTTACACTTATCCCAACATGATAAAAATGTCTACTTTAAAATGTTAAAAGGGTAGCCTCACCAAGTGAGGTGGCACACACTTGTAATCAACTACTCCGGAGGCAAAGCAGAATGATCCCAAGTTCAAGACCAACCTGAGCAACTCAGAAACACCCCATTTCAAAATAAAGGGCTGGGGCTGAGTGACAGAGCACTTGCTTAGCACGTAAGAAGCCCTTTGTGCAATCCACAATACAGTCCTCCCAAAAGTTTAAAAATAAGATGGCATGTCAAAATGATTAATTGGGGAGTCTGGAGACCTAATATAGATTATACAACACATACTCTGCCTAGGTTTTTTTTTTTTTTTTCAGTGCTGGGGATTAACCAAGAGCCTTACATGTGCTGGGCAAACAGCACTGTACAACTGAGCTATATATCCAACCCCCCAAAATCCTTATGAAATGTATAAGTACCAGAAGTATGAGATTATTTTTATCTCGGTAAACTTTTTCTACTTTGATTAAATGAGAACCAATAACTTTTGCTTAACAGCAACTGGGATCCCATGAACACACAAAGTTCCAAATTAAATAATCACACATTTGATATGAGCTCAACCAATCAGTCAAAATGTAGTACTCTAAACCATAATCACAAATTTCCCAGAACACCAAATGCAACCAAATTAAGCGAAGATAACCTCAACATTTTATTATCTTCATAACAAAACAAACGATGAAGCTTAGAACTGGATCACTTGGCCCTGTAATGAAACAGAAAAAAAAATGTTGAGTTTTGTATTTTGGAAAGAACCACCACTCCATCAATAATATCTTTTCTAAGAGATAATCATGCTATGTATGTTGAAGCAAGTTTCCTCATTCTTCCTTTCCTACTTACAGCAAAACCAACACCAAAAATCTTACACTGAAATCTGAAACTTTCTAAGTATGATACTTAACAAGTGTTAGATTTCAAATACTGGGTTTAAGGATGCTCAACCAGTTAAATCTATGTAAATATTCCCAAATCTAAAAAAAATTTCTGGTCCTAAGCATTTCAGACAAGGGATACATAACCTGTACTGTCAGCTATGGATAAACATAATAGAGCTATAAATAAGATTATTATACCTTTCTCTTCTTATCTCCTCCCAGTTCAAAATGCTTGCATCTCTTAATAGCCAGCATTCTTTTAGATCTGCAGTTAGGCTCAACACACTCAAGCCTCAGCACAATCTTCTTTGTAGTTTTAGCCTGGAAAAAAAGCCAGATCATTCATAAATCATTGCAGAACATCACTTTCTGGCTAGGTATGGTGGCACACACCTATAATCATCACAACTTGGGAGGCTGAGACTATAGGATTTCGAGTTCCAGAATAGCCTCAGCAACTCAGCAAGACCCTGTCTCAAATTTTTTAAAAAAGGAGGGATAGAAATTTGTTAAGGATGCCCAGTGGTGAAGCATCCCTTGGTTCAATCCCTTGTGCTAAAAAAGGAATAAAAAAAAAGAAAATTAGGGCTGGGGTTGTAGCTCAGTGGTAGAGAGCTTCCTAGTACTTGTGTGGCACTGGGTTTGATCCTTGGCACCACATAAAAATAAAACAAAATAAAGATACTGTGTCCCTCTACAACTAAAAAAAAATATTTAAAGAGTCCATGTTTATCTTAAAAAAGAAAAAAAGAAAATTACTTTTTAAAAAAATGAATATGTTGGGTTCAACACTACTTAAAGCTTTGCAAATGATAATTGCCATTTGTCTTTGGCTATAAGGAGAAAGTAATATAGTAATAGCAAAAATGGCAGGTTATCCA